ATAAACTTAACTTTAATAAACTATAGGCCCAAATTTTATAGTTGTACATATCTACATACTATATCTATATACTATACATATGCATGCATATTTATTTTAAACGTAGTTCAATCTGAATAGTATTTACATATGTATGCATATGGTGACATTTTATAGAAAACAGATATGTCCATTGTAACACTGTTGATCTTTTTTGTTCGATTTATAGGCGAATCATTGTCAAAGATTTTATATATTTTAATGTTTAAATACATACATACATACCCAGCAAAAAAAGGCGTGCAAAAAAAGTAGTAAATACATGGGTTCAACTGATAATGAACTGGTTCATATTTAGGTGAAACATGCATGATTTTAACATTAGCGTGTCATTGGCGTGCATGGGTTCGTATTTGGAAAAATAGTTCGGCATTAAAATGAGTGCTTACAACCAATGAACATCCGATGATTCTCAAGCGAATTTTCATTGGTGCACTATATTTATTTTAAAATGCATTATTAAAGGTATTACGAATTAATTATTAATATTTAAATTAATATTTTAGCATGATATTGATAAAAATTAAATGTGATAACAAAATAAAACAAATTTTGAATTGCATTAAAATTCATTCGAAGTAAAAATACCCATTATAATTTAAAATCAGTCAGTCAAATGGACTTAATATTACTAATTTAACAAATATTAAATACAAAAATCTAATAAAATTAATGTTATTTTTAAATTTGTTGTATGAAATGCACGTTTCCTTTAAATTCTAAGAGTATACCAAATTATAGTGATATATTACAGTTCCTATAGTAGAGTTACATGAGTGAATTGGGTGCAATTTTTCATGCCTTCACTTATGACAAATTTATTAGAATTTAGGCATGTATTTAGAACGCATTAAATTGAATACGTACTAAAGAAATCATGAAAATATCCCTTCTTCTTGAACAACTTCAAAATTTTTTTGCTGGGTATGTACATAAATATCATTTAAATTTGTTTTCATCATTTGGGCCTTTAGTGTTTATCATTAATTTGTAATTTGTTATATTTATATATGTTTTCTTTACATTTCCCCTGTTATCATTTAGCACCAACAACAATACCGCAACAATAAGCAACGAAATAACAGCAACTCCCATAATATGCGGGAACAACAACATAAAAGTAATCAAAGCAATATCAAGGAAAAACCACAAATCTCCAATTGTTATCAACAGCATAAAGAAATTGGAAACAACGGTAGCACCATCAAGAGCACAATTAACCGATCCTTGTCAACCAGTTCAAATTTTGCTAGCGCGCAAAATTGGAGGGGGTCTAACAACTATAAATACCAACAACCAACACAATCCACTCAACCATACTATAATAACTTCAACTAAACTAGGAGGAGTGATACAGAAGAGATGTAATGATGAATCAATTATCATTAGGGACTTGCCAAATGCTGAGTTAGATTGCAGAAATTCGGCCGCAGTTGCTACAGAAGAAATAATAAAGAAATTCCGCATACCCAAAGGAATAGCACTGACACCAAAATTTCCTGACGATTTAAACGTAGGCACACCCTGTCCCACAGAAGTAGTAACAAATGTATCGACAGCATTAATGTCGCCTCCGTTAACAACAAATGAAGATGGTGATAATTCATCCGGCCTAGTGGAGTATGTAGAAGAAGTTTATGATAATGATGGTGATCTTGATGAAGAAGAAGGAGAAGAAATGCATGTCGAAGAAATGGAAGAAATTAATGAGTCATGCGATTTCCACGAGTATCAAGAAACAGAACAAGAAGAAGAGAATGAATTAGAAGATAGTGATTTAATTGAAGAGGTGGAATCTTCAGAACACCAAGACTTATTAATGTCTGGGGAATCTGACGATATTATTGATGCTGCTAACGGTAACACAGATGTATTATTAGAAACTTCTTGCCAACAACAAACTACTAGCTCCGCAGCAAGTTCTGCTGTTCCTCAGATAATACAAGCTGTCCAGCCTAATGGTGTTGTCACCTGCTTCCAATTGCCAGCAAATACTATAATATTACAGTCCCCAGATGGAGCTTTACTTGCAACCACGGCTCCTCATCCGACAAAGCCAGGACAACAGCAGATTATAGCTATACAAGATCTTAACTCTCAACTAAATGACATTCTCAATTTATCATCTACAAATGCAACAGTTGTATCCTCTTCCACGATTCAACCATCAACAGTTGTTTTGTCACCCAACGGTCCTACAATGCCCCTAGTAACCCCATTAGGAGATTCGTCCACTCCATCTAATATTGCGCATCAATCCACCAGCCCTGCAGTTATCACATCAAATGAGTCGTTATTGAAAGCCCAACAGCAACAAATATTGGCGTAGGGTCTACACGGCGGCCAATTGGCACGATTTTTAAGTAATCCGCAAACTACTTTATTACCAACAACTTACTTTTTTTAATTTTAAATATTCATTAATATATTTTGCAAATCTCACCGAATGTTACGAACAATCAAATAGAAATTGAACATTATCAATGTGAACAAAAAAATATAAAATTAATTGTTCATTTTAACAATGTCCTTTTTCAAAAAAACTTCGGTTTTGGTGATTTTTCTGAAATAATGTTTACATTGTAGATCTGCCTGAGAAGCTTAAACTTTTGGAAGATGTACTCTTATTTTATATTTTATCTATAGAAATCGTGCCATTTTGCCGCCATCTATTCTTAAAACAATTTGATTGAATTATGAGGGCTGTAAACATTTATAAGTATATGTTGATTACTCAAATTAGTTGTATTTCGCATAGATTTATCATATCAGTAAAACTGATTAGATTGATTTCTTAAAATCATTCATACAAACCCTTACACATACTTGCTCTGAAAAAATAGTAATATTAAAAATCAATAATAAAACCAATACAAACTGTAATAATAGATTATATGTAAGAGTGTTCTTTAGATTTTCAAATACCTATACATACTGATGTTGATATACTAAAAAAAGGTTAAATTAAAATCTTATATTTTCAAATTTCAACCTATTTTACTAACAAAGTTTGTTGTTGTTCATTCTTCACTTACTTGTTATGTATAAGAATATGCTACATTTTGAATTTTTATTTTCAGACTAACATTTACATATTTGTATTATTTTCATACATCCATTACATTATACATACATACTTTTCGAATTAAACAATTAATTCAATTATTAATATTTGTATCGTGGTTTTACTATTCATTGTGAAGGCATTGCGTATTTTTTGCATTAAAAGCCCTTTCTGTTTAATTTTAAAATTTTTTATAATTATGTAGTTAATTCAACTAAAAACAATAAAACCAATTTTATTGTTTTCAATTTTATGTTTTAAACTTTTTATTTAGTTATCCAATTAAGTTTACAATTTAAATTAAATTAAAGCAAAACAAACAAACAAACAAACCAATCAATTTAATATTTTATTATTCAACATAATCTATTGCCATTATGTTTAAATATAATCCGTAATATTAATAATTTATTTATCTGTCTGTCTTTACTGTAAGATATTTATACGTACGTACATATGTATGTGAATTCGTAACATAATGTACTACATACTATTAATATTGTTTATTTATTTATTTAATTTCAATTAAAAATATGTTTCAATATTACAGATTATATTAGTTTATTAGGTTACTGATATTAATAACATAATAATTATGTAATAATATATGATAATAAGTATAAAGTTAATAAACTCTTAAAAAAGATCTACAATTTAATTATTAAATATTTAAATATAAGAATAACATATTTCATAAATGAAATTAAAAATAAATAAAAAAAATTCAAAAATTATACAAGATAATAATAAATGTTTTTATCACTTTTTGGATTGCAATAGAGATTTTGTTATAAGTTTCAATATCTTCTTTAATTTAAGAAATCTTACAAGATTGTATATTTCACTTTACAAGTCATACACCCGACTTCGCAATGTTTTCTATATACACACATTAGAGTGGCCCGAATATGAGGAAAATAAAAAAATATTTTAAAGGGTTCTCGCTATTTAAAGCCCTTATTTATCTCAGTACAATTTTTCCCAAAAAAAAATAATCAGCCCTATTCTGCATTTCAATTCGAATCGAAATCCGTTTGGCAACTTTGGTATTCTGTATTTCGTTTCGAAGCTCCGTCAATAAAATGACAATTTACAAAACGTAGTTACGATCGTAATGCAGAATACACACAATCGTAAAGCATTGAAATAAAATGGAATTGCTTCTTTCTCTTAAAATTTAGTTTTTTGTAATACATACATATTTTCGATTGTAACGTAACTGAATGCGGAAAAGTAATCGAAATGTAGAATAGGAGTGAATTATCCAACTTTTACGAAATGGATGTCAAAACATCCACATTTTGGGCTTATTGTGTAAAAATAATTTAAAATTTATTTTGTGGATTATCCAACTTTTACGAAATGGATGTCAAAACATCCACATTTTGGGCTTATTGTGTAAAAAATAATTTAAAATTTATTTTAGAATATTTTTTGTTCCCAAAAAACTGATTTTTGTAAACATTACGATTGTGTGTATTCTACATTACGATCGTAGCTACGTTTTTGTAATTTGTTTATGTGGCGGAGAGTCGAATCGAAATGCAGAATCTCATGTAGGAATACCTCTCAATTGATGCGTATTAATGTACTGAACTCCATATTTACAATATGTTTGGTATTTTCACATTTTTTTTACAAATAAATCAAAATTCTACCGAAGTTTTCTCTGTTTCAACCGAAATTTTGAAATATAAAAATGTAAACAATAGGATACTTTGACAGCTAAGTAAACCAGGCGAAGAAGAAAAAATAGTAACTGCTTTATCGACTTCACCTTGTATTTGTACGCCATGGTTGCCATCTGGACGAATAAATACAAGATGGCGCCAGTTAAACAGCTGATTAGTTCGATTCCTGTCAAAGTTTGTTTTAGTAAATCAAAACAACACAATCGTCAATGCTTACAAAAAATCACAAAAATAAAAATTAGCTATTAGAATAGTGGTGTTATCTTGTTTGAATGTGCTTTGCTTGCAGTTCAACAAATTAAAATTATCACAAATAAGTCGTCAGTTGTGCATGGAAAGAACAAGTTGAATAAGACATTATTGATAGTTAAATTAAAATTGTTGGTACTACCATTCACTACAGACATGGATCCAATGAAAGTAGATGTTAAAGAAATTGAAAATATTTTGAAATTAGATCCATATTTAAAACCATTTGAACGTGAAATCAGAAGAAGGTTTGTAAACAATAAAGTGAAAAACAGAATAACGATAGTCCATAATATATTCAAGATTTTTTAAAGTATGTAATGCCAGGAACAATATTTATATGTATATTGTCCATAAAGTGAAGATATACGCAATCTTATTAAAACAATTTTATTAGTTTTTCTTAGAGCATGTATACTTTTGGACAATGTCAAGTGAAGGTTAAAATAAGTTGAACGAAAAAATATTTAAAATACCTACATTTGATTATTAAAATTGATTGAAAAATTTTAAGTTTAAACTGAATATACATATATTTACAGTGGAATACCTAATAGAAGAATGCATACGTATTTTAATTTAATAGAAAATTATTATACCGGCAAACAATGCATGAGATTGCTTATCAATGTCATGAACTTCATTAGACGTACATACATATATATGTATGTATGTACATATGTATATCATATATGTACATATTTACATTACGAATTAATTTTCACTTTGTAATGAACTTCTTTACTTGAAAAGTTCATTAGATCCCAAGAAATTTGAATTTTGCTTGGATGGGTTTCAATTTGTTCATTAGTTATCATGCGTAATTTTTACCAATATCACGCTAAAAAATTAATTTAAATGTTAAAAATTAATTCGTAATATCTTTAATAATGTATTTTAAAATAAATATAGTGCAGTAATGAAAATTCGTTTGAGAATCATCTAATGTTCATTGGTTGTAAGCACTCATTTTAATGACGAACTATATTATCAAATACGAACCGAACTGAAATTCGTGCTTTTTTTAACTATAATTCATAAAAAAATCTTATATATTAAGGAGTGGCGTTTTGCAAGAATGGATTGGGAAAATAGATAAACTCGAAGGAGGAATGGATACATTCTCTCAAGGCTACAAATACTATGGTCTTCATTTTCTACCAGATAATTCTGTTGTCGCTAGAGAATGGGCTCCGGGAGCCAAAGATGTTTACTTAACTGGAGATTTCAGTAAGTACAAAACAAAATGAAAAAAAAAAAAATTCTAACTCCATCAACATTTTGAAATTTACAGACAATTGGCAGTGGGAAGCCACACCATATAAAAAATTAGATTTTGGTAAATGGGAATTGCATATTCCTGCTAATGCGGATGGAACAGCACCCATTAAACACTTAAGTGAGATTAAGGTAATAATACGCAACCAAGCTGGTCAACTTTTGGATCGGTTATCGCCGTGGGCAAAGTATGTAAAGCAACCTCCCAAGGAAGCTAATCAGGGTGTTAACTACAAACAATACGTTTGGAATCCACCAGAAAATGAATGCTATAAATTCAAGTACCCAAAAGCTAAAAGACCAAAATCTCTACGTATTTACGAATGTCATGTGGGAATAGCTTCGCAAGAACCGTGTGTTGGTTTGTACGACAACTTTGCCGATAATATTATACCCCGCATTAAAAAGCAGGGATATAATGCAATCCAAGTAATGGCGATAATGGAGCATGCATATTATGCAAGTTTCGGTTATCAAGTTACTAGTTTTTTTGCCGCCTCCAGCCGCTTCGGTACTCCAGATCAACTTAAACGAATGATAGATGTTGCCCATGCTAATGGTTTATATGTATTATTGGATGTTGTTCATTCACACGCCAGTAAAAATGTTCAAGATGGTTTAAATCAATTCGATGGCACTAATAGTTGCTACTTTCACGACGGCAAGCGAGGAGAACATGCTCTATGGGACAGTCGGCTATTCAATTATATGGAATATGAAGTGTTAAGATTTTTATTGTCAAATTTACGATGGTGGCATGATGAATATAAATTCGATGGATATAGGCAAGTTCATTAATAATCTTAACCACCAAATACTTATGTTTTTAATGATTTTATAGATTCGATGGCGTTACTTCAATGATATATCATTCTCGTGGTATTGGGGAAGGTTTCAGCGGTGATTACAATGAATATTTTGGACTGAATGTGGATACGGACGCTTTAAACTATTTGGCTTTGGCTAATCATATGTTACATACTCAAAATCCCGAATGCATAACAATTGCAGAGGTAAAAAAGTGGTATTTTCAATATTTCTATATGTTTAATTTTATATATCATAGGATGTATCCGGTATGCCTACGCTATGTCGTCCTAATGCCGAAGGTGGTATTGGCTTTGATTATCGTTTAGGTATGGCAATTCCAGACAAGTGGATTGAATTGCTTAAGGAATGTTCGGATGATCAGTGGAATATAGGTAATATTGTTCATACTCTTACAAATCGCAGATGGAAGGAAAACACAGTTGCATACGCAGAATCACATGACCAGGCATTGGTAGGAGATAAGACCTTAGCTTTTTGGTTGATGGATAAAGAAATGTACACCCATATGTCAGTTATTTCTGAGCCAAACCTAATTATTGATCGTGGTATTGCTTTACACAAAATGATACGCCTAATAACACATGCTTTAGGTGGTGAAGCCTATCTCAACTTTATGGGAAATGAGTTTGGACACCCAGAATGGTTAGATTTTCCACGAGCTGGTAATAATGATTCATACCATTACGCTCGCAGACAATGGAATTTAGTTGATGATCCTTTGCTAAAATATAAATATTTAAATGAGTTTGATCGTGCAATGAATGAATTGGAAGAACGATTTGGCTGGTTACATTCCGATCCAGCTTATGTTAGTTGGAAACATGAGGGTGATAAGATCATAGCTTTCGAACGCGCTGGATTAGTGTTTGTTTTCAATTTTCATCCTACTCAAAGTTTTACGGGTTATCGTGTTGGTACCAATTGGGCTGGAACCTATAAAATTGCACTATCATCAGATGATGAACTTTTTGGAGGATTCAATCGCCTCGATAAAAATTGTAAACATATTTCTAGAGCTGAAAATTACGCTGGTCGTCAAAACTTTATTGAAGTGTATGCACCAGCACGTACAGCAGTAGTATATGAACATATTAATGATTAGTAAATTTTTAATAATATAATTTTGAAACCATGGTATAAACAATCTATACCATTAATCAAACTGTAATATAATTTTTAAATAAATACACATCCAAAGTGTGAATTGAAAAAATTAAATAAATGCGTATACTTACAACACTTTTTTAATATTAATTCAAAAGAAAGTGAAATACAAATGAAAAATGTGTTTCGTTTATTGAGCAGAATAGTAAAAATAAATTACATTTTATATATAGGTTATAAAAATAAAAATCCTGCAATTTCTTTAAAAAATAAAAGTACAAATGTATTGTAAAATACGTATAGTATGTGCGTACATTAGACCTGCCCTTAAAATAACTAGTCTTTGAATTATGTCGATTGGTTCTTCAGTAAATGAAATTATGTTTAATTCAATATGTATATGGACAGGTTTAAAGTACATGTACATACGTATCTATATGTAGTACATTATGAGCCAAATATATTTTTTTTTAAATCTTGTTCAGCCAAACATTAACTATTGCAAAATAATGGCAGATAAAAGAAAGAAAATAAAGAAAAATTAAATAATAAAATTGTTCAGAAAAATATCTTTAAGAAAATTCTTTTAGTATAACTGACAATAAATTGTATCGGCACTTGTGATAGAATTAACTGTTAACTGTCTGTTATTTATACAATAAACGATTTGATATCACTTAAAATTATATTATTATTATTTCAGTTGTTTTTCCATTATGTATACATATAAAAAACAAAAATCTGTTCTATTTAACAATGTGTAAATATAAAAAATCCCTGGCTATTGCATATTTGGTCTATTGTATGGGACTGGGAGTATGTGTGATTATATGTAGGGTAGGATTTAGGGATTTTAGGGCTGGAGTTATTTGTGTAAATAAGTTTTTTTTATAGTAATTATTTTATAAAAAAAATCACAATTTGATTAAAATCTAATTAACAAAAAGTTGTACTATTGCAGTGTATGGAGGATTGTGTTGTGTGTATGTGTGACGGGGATTTTTAATGGGAAAAGATTTTGAAATTTGTGTATATTTTAGTTTAATACCAGTTAATTCATAACAAGTATTTTTCTCAATAATACTTTATTGTTATGTCGTTTTGCTTAATATATTTTTTCAATTACTAATTGAAGATTATGCAAACGAACTTGCAAAAAAGTATTACGAATAGAAATATCATAAAATACTCCTGAATATTGGATATACATATATAGTTTTAAATTTTTTTAGTTTAAGAAATGAGACATTTTTAATCTTAACATTTATAACGTTTTTTTTTTTCAATTCTAACACGATGAAAGTAATAAAAATATGTATTTATATAATGTTTAAAAAAGATATAAAATCCTATATATATTATTTAACAACTAGAGAGGTAGGTTTGTATGTGATGGAAATTTTGATTTGTAAAATGTGAAAATTTTGTAAACCGGTCTATTGCATAAAATTGCAGGCTTTTTGTTTCGAAAGTAATGACTTTTATCATTACCAACGCTAACAAAAAATAACAATAAAACTAGAAAGCAGCTAAAATCGCAGCATAACATATGTAATTGCCATTTATATGACAATTCTATGCTACAAAATCCAAAGGACGATTGAAGCCGCCTTTACGATTCATATATTGACGGTACTTGCGTTTTAGGATTACATGTACTTCTCCGACATCATTACCTTCAACTTTTCGATTTTTTGTTGTGTCGAACGTACAGAAACCCATTGTTTTAAGCATTTCTATCTCTTCAGGGGATTTTCCCTCCAAATCGGCTTCACTAATTTTGGGGCGTTCTACACGTGAACTGGCACCACCACGACGACGTGTAGATGATGACGCTGAAGTAGAAGCATGTCCATGTGAACGTGACCTAATGTTTATATTTTATTTAATTAATATTTTATTAAATTATAAAATTTTGTAATAAAGCTTGTAAGCAATTTTAGAATAGAAATGTATGTACATAATATTATTGATTCCCAACCTGAAAGCTCATTATATTATATAAAAAGTCAGCATAACAGGCAAATCGACTGATAGAAAATAAAATCATTTCAGGTCATAATCTGGTAGACCAAAGGTGGTGGGTTCGATTCCCACCTGACGCACTGGTAAAGGAGCGCACAGCAGGCCCAATAGACTCCTAGGGGTATTTCTTCGGATTGGATGTACATATATCCTTTTTTCAAACTAACTAACTAACTAAGGACTAATTCAAAAAGTGTCAGTAGAATGAATTAAAAATTGGAAAAGCCAAAGACAATTTAAATCGAAATGATTTATTCGAGTAATATTCATACATTACGAGCCAAAAGCTAACCACTCGGAATCTCCAAGAATTCACAGACAAATATCTATGATGAGCACATAAAGGATAAAAAAAGATCCAAAACTAATTCTTAGTGAACTCCGGGCTTTAGAAATCATCATTCATCATAAATCTACAAATTGAAATCTATAGAGTATATTAATTTATATAATACTGCATTGAAATTAAAAAAATTATCTAAAATTATTGGTAAAAATCTGATACATATAAGGGAAAATAGCTTTAAAAAACAAATCTAGACTTAGTTCTGAATTATTTGGGTTCAGCTCCCGAAAGTATATGATAGATCAGAATTCTTACTTAACCTCCATTGATTAGTAACAACATTGTCTTGAATCTAAGTATAGCACTGGAATATATTAATAAATTTGAGTAGAAAAGAAATTGATATTATTTATTGGATAAAAATAATTTCATGACAACAGAAATTTTGAAAATATTATACTTTTAAGATAAACTTAATATTATATTCCTATAAAATGGTCATCCACCGACTATCTGCAAATACCTCATTATTTTACGACATATCCTCTATAAGAGCAGCACGTAATTTTGTTGTTACTGTTGAGGGTTGAGCTTGATTCAATTTAAAGACACTCTCGATAACGGAAATTTCAGTAGCGGTAGTGTTCATGCCAACAAATGAAATCCAGTCATTTACAACCATGCCGGCAGCCAATACTTCACTGCCACGATTTACCGTACCAGCCACCAAGGGAACTTGTAGCAACGATGATAATTCATCCTGATCCTGTATGGTAGTCTTCGGATGCACCATGCCGCCCTGGTTACTAAGAACTGTATATGAACCTACTAATGTGTTATCGGCTATAGTTTGACGGAAAACTTCAACATTTAAGACATCTCCGATGATTTCTTCTGTTTCTTTGTCAAGATCTGGATGAACCAAAGCAACGTAGTCATTGCAGGCAATGACATTGCCAAGAGCAGATAAGCGTTCTTCAACACGTTGAATTTTAACAGTGTCTGGTAAACTGTTGCGCAAATGTTGTAATTCAACGTCTGTAGTAGAACTTGGAACCAATAAGCCATTACGGTTTCCAACTGTCAGTCTACCAATTATACGGCATCCGCCAACACTAGCATGAACAACCGGAATTGTTTCTGCTAATTCTGCTTCATATACGCTATAAAACGTTTCGGAACCTCCAATTGCAACAAGGCAGTAAGAATTTGTTAATTTGCTGAAGACGCCAATATCGTCATTATTTTCAAACTGAACACGCAAAGCCATTCTAATTCTTTTTTATTGTATAGACAAGAGCTTCGTCGTTAAAATTTACTACTTAATAAATTTCAAATCGAAATTTCACTAATTTATATACACAAAATATAAAAAAATCTTTGTTTCACTTCACGTGGTGATAATTACGAGGGAATGAACGATTGGTGAAATATATTATATACAATTTCACAAAAGTACGCAAAAATACAATGTTAATTTACTCTGCTTTACTAATCTAATACAACTCTGCAGGCAGAGTTGCATTTAAGAGGCCGAAATCTTGCAATACTATTATAATATATGTATTTAAAATGTATACTTATCATATTTAGGATTCTGTTTTGGTTTTAATACACTACACGTTTTATTCACCTCGACCGGCGTCTGCTGTTTCTTTCACTACGATCTCGGTCCCGACTGCGACTACGATCCCTATCACGCTCGTGACGATGCGGTGACCTCCGTCTTAAAGTGCGACCAGAGCTACTTGATGGTGCCATTTCTGGGTCGCGGTCCCTTTCGCGCTCTCTTGAACGGCGCTCTCTTCTTTTTTTACGTTCGGAACGTTCTTTTTCACGCCTTCTATGTGAAGGAGATGGACTGCGACCCATTGTTGTTATTATTCATAAACTAAGTGTTGTACTTTAGCGTTACCGTCGATTAGTAAACGTTTAATGATTCCTCTTGTTTTCTTAGCTTTACGTGACAACTGTTGATGGGTCGTCAACAAAATGTATGAATTAAATTTTATTTAACAAATTAATTAATTTACTTACTAAATTTAAACGCCGTGTCTTGCTTAAACATATATTGACACCGTCATTCGTTTATTAAAAATTCAATAACTTAAAAACTAAAAAACCCAGACCATTCACGCGCGTTTTTCTACAATACTAAATTAAACAAATTCTTCGCTAAGTAATCAAGCCAACAAACATTTTTTTTCAGAGTTGTATAAAACTGCATGTTTTCTATATACTTATATGTTGAAAGTGCCTAAACACTGTCCGTAAAGTAAAATATTTTCAGTTTAATTTTAAAAGTCAATTGATGTGTCAATCAATGTGTAACAATTTGTAAAATTAAATTTTGATAGATATGAGCAAAATTTTACTAGTATATGGTGCTACACAAGTTTTTGACAAATTAAAATAAAAAGTTGACATATTTAAAATAAATATATGAACTACTAGAAAATCCACTTCTTTTTTATAAATATTTTGTTAACATCAAATATATTTTTCATTATTTTAGTACACCATCACAGCTGATTTAAACATTTTGTTATCATTTTTTTCTTAAAATAAACAACATTTTTTTCGCTTTAAACTAGTTCATTAATTATTGGCCCGTAAAGTTAGAATTTCTACATATAAAACGGTAACCCCTATTGTTAATTTTTAACGAAACCGTTGTTCGATATGTATATCATAAACTGCAAATAAAACGATAACATTCCTTTCTAACAAAGACAGTATTCGATATGTATATATATCATAAAAAAATTTTTTTAGCACTAAAACTAATGAAATTAACTTTAATTTAATTTTAAAATTGAAACTCTGTAAGTGATCTTGATTTTTTTTTCAAAAATAAAATTGTTTCGGAAACGCATGAGTAAGACTAGGTTTATTGATTATAAGGTAGTGTTAAGAGAATATAATGAATTCTCTCTGTTTGGCTAAATTCGCCGATTACACAGCCAGAATTGGGATTTCAAAATAATATTTTTTACATATAAAACGGTAACACCAAAAAATATAGATGTTTTTCTCGAAATTTCGTTTTTTGAATTATGCCAGTGGAAATACTAGATCTATTATAACATAACAGATCTAATAACACAATTGGCGTTTCATGTTCTCGAGTTTTTTGACTTGATACCTCTAATAAAAATCGGGAAACATAATTTTGTAATACAAGTTTTATTGGCTTTAAGATGCGCTTGAATAAAATAAATATAATAAAAACAAATAATAAAAAATAAATTATAATACATAAAGATGCGCTTGAATAAAATAAATATAATAAAAACAAATAATAAAAAATAAATTATAATACATAATTATCAGGCTCAGATTAATTCCATTAAAAAACGAACAGGTAAAAACTCACTATGTATAACATGTATGTTTTTATATTTCATCCCTGATAAAAAAGGGAAATTTTCTCTATGTACACATTTTTAAAGAGTAAACAATGTTTAAAAATGACATCATCATGAAACAAAATTTCCAATTTGAATTTGGTGGAAATATATTCCTCTCTTTCAGTCTTTTATAAGAAGTAAACTAGAGCAATAGAAAATGAGAAACAGCTAAAAGCAAGAAAATTGGGATATTCATTATTAGGTTTCGAAAAATTTGAATGATAAGGGGAAATTTGTGTTTTAATCAACTTGAAATAAAAACAACAGAAATAACAGCGAAGTATAAACGAACGAATATATTGCGGGTGAATTAAAAACGTACAATACCGAGTAAAAACCTGGATTTAAAAAAATAAAAAGGAAGTTATAAATAAAAAAAGTAAGCGCTATAAAAAGTTATAAAACACCGGCAAACGCCTCCATTTTTTATAAAAAACTTAATTGTTATTTTTTTTTATTGGCTTTGTACTAAGCTAGTGTGTGTGTATTTTGTAGTTATGACATAATCGGGCGTCGTCGTTTCTCATGTTCCTAATTAAGATACATAATTTGTACATTGTGAATAAAATATATTAAAAATTGTAAATCAAACAACAAAAAACTCAAATTTAAGGATGTGTATTGAGGATTTGATGAGATAATTTAGTGTATGTGATTTAAAATTAGTCATGCATTTGCAACAAATTTAAATGAAAGAAAATGGGCGTTGCTGCCAAAAAATAAAAAATTTCCTTCGTTTGGAAACTGGTTACATTTCTATAAAATATATATCAACTTGATGCTATTGAAACTTTTGCAATATAAAATTTATTAATAAATAGTAAAATATGTATTTAAAATATTGCAATTGACATAAAAATTATTTAGTTTTGTATGTTTGTTTCCATTTATATCTCAAATCAGTGTTAACAACCATGTATTTTTAAAACGCGTCAAAACCGATAGTTTTTATTAAAATCAGCGAAAAGTTTTACAATTCATATAAAAATTTTTGAAATTTAAAAGGATACCTATGAAGTTTTAATAGGACTATAGATATGATATATATATGTATTTATTCCATTTTGATGTACAATGTTGTGCAAAGGGTATTTCTTTAACAGACATGGTTGCATCTACAAGATGTATAAAATAGTTCTAAAGTATGGATCATATAATCGATCTCTAATATTACTATCATGGCTCAATTAAAGAATACCATATTTAATTTAAAACTTTATCCAATTATTTATATAATTATTATTTCAATTTAATATAATTACTGTACAAGGAGATTCAAAAATATTTATATATTTGATTTGTACAAGGTAGACCGACTACATTGAAATGTGCTATGGGTTTGTGCTTTAACGCTGTTTTTTAATTGTCAACATTTATTCTTGCACAGGCGCTCTCTATATTTCATTTGGTTTTTTCAATTCATCTCTTTCTTTTGAAATTTCCTTCACTCAATTGAAATTGAACTGCCTTTGATTGCACTACGTTTGGGCTGTATTAGATGTTTTGTGTGTACGTGTGTTGAAATATCTGTTGTTACACTGAAAAAGGTTTAAAGTGCATAATAACAATTAAATAAAAAATATTTTTTTTTTTAAATAAAATTGGTAAAACCTAAATAATAAATTGAAGGGTTTTTATTTTATAATTACCGCAAAATAAATTTTTAAAGCACGAAATATTTTAAAATTTACGAGTGTGACAGAGACAGTATTGTTACCATCGAACGGTAAGTAGGCACGCTGTCGAAAAATCTTCCTTTTTACGCACTTGGTTACAATCTTTTTTAATAATGGGAAATTTTTCAACATACTCGTTAAAATTGGCGATTATTGTTTTTCTTTGTACATTTGTTATTAATCTGTCTGGATTTCTTTTATAAATGTGTTTACCTGTTTATTATAAAATATATTTTATACATTGCCCTAATACATATTCAAATAAACTTGGGATTTTATATCCATACTAATTAACAAAGTTTTAAGTTTAACAATTTGGTTTAAAAAATACCTATGATTGAATGTTCCAAAAACATCACGAAGTTTTCTGAAAATATTGTAAGTAACATTTCAAAATTATAACAAGAAACAAGGTGGTGTGTTTTCTCTAAAGCTTCTCGAGACCTAGTTCTGTGGTTAACGAAATCGAACAAAAATCGCTGATTTAAAAACTAATTTCGGAACCGTTCCACAGTATCAGTTCCGAATGCAACAATTTTAAATAAAAATCATTGCTCTCATCACCAACTAGTTATAATAAGTACGGAATATAATCATACTAGGCCAGAAGAGGTTACAAATTTCTATTTAATAATAATGTATAAGTATTATGTATTATTTAACAATCGAGGCATTTTTATCAATTTTGACAATTTTAGTTGTTATTATCTGTCCAACACAATGCACAGCGTGAGTACCGGTCATACCCTGAGTGCTGGTCAAATAAAAAGTAATTCTCAAAAACTTCTGGTTTCGCTTTTACGTCAAATATTTGATCAATGGACATTCTACCTCTATTCATAAGCATTATAATATAATATGTTTCGATTTTCTATTAAATAATAGATAAAATTTATAAAAATTTGTACAAAAATCCTGTTTTAAAAAATCGTCAAATATTGAGTTTAAATCGTCAAATCGTCAATAGGTAATTTTGACTGAAAATCGTCAAAATGATAATGATAAATCGTCAAATCTGGCAACAGTGATTGGGCCTCATTTAACCCTAGTCCCCCAAAAAAGTTCCCCTCAGAAATTGGCTTGAACGTCTATAATTGACATATGGTTCGTTCACACTTATCACCATAGCCGATATATAAAAATAAATCACATTTTAAATAAACTCACAACTGGTGTTGGGTATTATATAGTCGGTCCAGCCCGATTATAATTTCCTACTTGTTTCATATGATTTTGTGTGCTAATTCTAGTTTGGCCTTGAATGTTATGTTACTTATATGAGTAAATAAACAATAATAAACTACATATGTGTGTACATCATTTATGTCTTTTCAAAGATATAAATATATGTACATATAATTGTTTATATATATTCATACAAATAACAACTTCTACCGCATAATCATGTAAGAAACGTGTTATCAATATTAAATTTGCTGAATATTTATACATATGTATGTATGTATGTATGTATGTATGTAAAAGTTTGTTAAAAGAAAGTAGAAGTATCACCAACCATACATGCATATGTATGTATACATGTATATAGGACAAAAATAATTATGTAGGAAAAATTTAATTTATATGGGCATAAGTAGTTTACGAAATCTACAAATTCTCTGAGATTTCTGTTCAAGATCGTGTGAGAATGAGTTTTTGTTATTAATTAAAGAATAATAACAAAATATAGAGTTATTTAGTATAAACTGTTTTCATTTTTTATAATATGTAAATTTATCCCCGACTCAGTGGTTTATCATTTATTTAGTCTAGAGTTGAATTATTTAAACCGACATTGCCGCCAGTATATACATATTTTGTGGTTTATTTTATATTTTTGTCCCGATTGTTTTTGCTTTATGCTAAATATAAAAGTATTATTTTGTTAATACATCGTTAATCTATAACAAGTGAAAATACAATATGTACATTTTCAAAATAATATAAATACATACTATGTATGTGTGTAAAAACATCTTCCGGCTTTTCTAAACTATGAATATTTAATGTAAAAATCAACATAGAAATTAACGGAAATATAATTATTTGACAATAACCTACTCATACCCAAAATAAACTACTTTCGTGACGAGATTGTTGGTTTTTTATTTTTGTTTATGGTAAAATGTTTTTCTAGACAAAAATTTAATAGAAAACTGTTAAATGGTGACACATAAAATTATACAAATTCTATAAATACATGTTTGTGTATAAATGTCATTGTTTATGTATAGAAAGTGAATTTATTTACACATTAATACATATAGACACACAAACATAATCGTTTGTATACATACAGTAAAGCATACATAGTACATATTTCCACAATCTAAAATCACATACCGAGTAAAGTGTGATTATTTATTTTCTTGTAATAGCGTCCGAAAATTTTGTACATATAAAGTTAATAATGGTTAAAATATCGGTTTAAGTACATTTGTAATATGTATTATTTTTATTGAAATATGTATTTTAATAATACTTTTGCAGGTTCGTATAAAATATATGTATGTATGTATGTATAGATTTCAACTTCATAAATTTGCTATAGGTAATGCGCTTAAATCAATTTTCAATGAATTAATGTATACAACTTATGACCAGCATAAACTAACCAAGGAGTTATAGCCAAAATATTCTGTAAGTTGGAAAAGTTGACTTCTGATGTATAATTTAGTAATGCATCATGTGTAATTAGTAATATTATCGGTGGCAACTCTATAAAAAAGTGTTAGGGTTATTTAAGTGCTTGTTTTTTTATTTATTTATTAACATGCTGCATAAAAAGTAAAAAAAAAATTGTGGTAATAGTGGTGTTACAGATTCAACTGTACACTTAATGTTGTTTTACTTGATATACTTGTTTTTCATTCGTCTTCTTTTTTATTTTTCTCTTAAAGCGTACTCTTTGATTTTTATTACTAAAATGTTACTTTAACGTTTGTATTACACATGTATGTATATTAAAAATTTTGTATTAACGTACTATTGACTATGAAAGCGGTAAAAACTTAGAAATCAATAAAATTGACTTCTTCACACCTAATATTTGGTAAGACCAATTTATAGAAAATAGATTTGCTTCAACAATGTTTTGTTCAACAAATCGCCGTTATTACAATTCAAAATAAGTATAACGATGGGTAAAATGTAGGTTTACTAAAATTCTTACTTACAAGACTCAATTTCTCATATAAATAAACAATATTTGAAAAAAAATAAATAAAATCAATGATGTCATTTATTTTTGTACACACATACGTACCTATGTATATAAATATGGATGTATGAATGTACGTACATTTTTATTAGGGATATAACTTCAGGCATTTTTAGTAAAATATATAAGATGAAAATTGGAGATAAGAGATAAATTTGGAATGAAAAAATTTAAAATTAAAAAAATTACGGGTGCCATTTTTGCAAAATCACTTAAAAATATGAACTTGGGTCCGATAAAATGGGTAAAAATTATACAATTTGAGTAGGCTGATGTCAGAGTGGGTGCTACAAGCGTTGCTAACAAAATGTTATAGTGCACTACAAACCATTGCTTATGTTTTCATGTCGTTAGCTTAGTACGCAAACGTGCCAAATACTATTCAATATGTTCTACAGGAAAAGCAGAAAAACATCACAAGTCTCCAAAGTTTCTTAACGAGAGAAGAAAACTAACTGCGTTTACAGATTAAAACAAAAATAAAGTTATTACGTTTTGTATTTTCTCCTCTAACATTTTCTGAAAAGGACTTGTCACGTTTGCGTACTAACGTTATGTCTTTACTTGAACCATATCAGAGTAGGAGCGAAGCTTGAAACATAAAAAATAAAACGAAAATGAGTAACGGCCATACCTAAATAAATGCGTTAAGCGTTGAATCCAAAAGTACATATTTAAAGTTAAAATAATATAATTTTTTGATTGTATCACGTGTATTTATGGTTACACCCCTAATGCATAAAAATATATCTTAATATGTATGGATTTACTCTGCGCATGACTGTAGTGAATATGGTGAAAATTTCCTTCTTATATTTTTTTCTTGTTTCATCAATATTCTATGTTTTTAAAGATTTACTACTTATAATATAGATGTACATATGTAAATATTTATCACATTCATATTATAGTTAATGAAATGTTAAAACTATTCCTTGCATCATTGGTATTAGTAAAAAACTAATCTTAAAAATGTGTTACGTTAGTTTCAATTGTTGAATGTAAATAATACCCCAGGAAAATTTGGCAAAAAATTAGCAATCTGCGGAATTTTAGCATTTAGTAAGGGATTAAAAGGTACGCGTTTTGATGTAATTATAACTATATAAGATCAGACCCGTAATTAAATAAAAAACAAATATTTAAATAAAAATTTATATAAGTTATTTTTGTTAAATTTACCTAAATTTTGTCAAAAAATTGCATAATTATTTCTTAAACTATGTAGATTATAAAGACTTTGTAAATTGTTTTCAAAAATGCAATCACTTTATAAGGTTTACTATGTTCGCTATAAGTATATTATTAGCTACTACATAGTGTTTATACCCCTAATTTAAATACGATTATAAATTTAGTGGAATTCGGTGCAGTTTTATTTGTAATTGAAAAAAGCACACTAAGGGGGTGATTTAATCATGACATCATTCTATTATTTGTTATTTATTTTTCAAAATCTATAAAGAGAGTAATACGAAAGTACAAATGTTTGTAAGCAAATAATCTTTACATTTATTGAAGAAGGGTGTGTGCAGGAAGAAAATAACTGTCACTTCGCTATTGAATATAAATATCGAAACTTTTTACAGCACAGTTCATTGACATTTTTTATTGTTAGTTTTTATTTTTTTTTCTCATACAAATGTCCTCGCGTGCTGCACGGCTAATTGTTATGGGCAGTTAAAGAGTGTATATACATATGTATGTATATTACGTATACGTACATATATTTAAATTATGTATATTAACACCATCCACTGGGTGTACAATATCACTGTACATAAAAGAAATCGATCTTTGGCATAAAAAATCCAACTCAGACAAAACCACACTTTTCACAGGATAAACAAAAAACTAAATGAAATTAAAACTATCATTATTAAAAATATATATTCTTACATGCGTAATTACCAAACATAAATAAGCACATAAAAATACCTGTATTCTGCCAAGACTGTTTTAATTATTTATTTAAGTTATTTATTTAATTTTTATACCCTACACTACCATAGTGGGAAGGGTATTATGCGTTTGTGCTAATGTTTGTAACGCACAAAAAATATTGGTTCTACATCCACCTTAAAGTATACGGATCGACTCAGAATCATCTAAGACATGACATGTCCATCCATTTTAAGATAATTTTGATGAAGTTTGGACCATACGTGTTTTTCGGACCAAGAACAAATGGTTGAACTCGGTCCATTATTTCACCTGTCCCCGTCAGTCCGTATGTTAAGAGTCGTACATTTGTTGAAAACTTACTAGATCAGTAAAAATGAAACATAAAAATTTTAAAAAATTGTTAAATATACTATGGCTAAATTTTGCACTGTTAGTTGTTTTGTTGTTTATTTGAGACACATAGTTGTGATTTGTTTATTTTTTTAGATAAATTGAGCGGAAATTATAATAGAAATTACTGTACAAGTATTTCTACTCGTATGTTTGGAAAGCTATATATCGTCACCTAAAACCCAAACGGCCCTATCTAACATTTTTTAAATTTTACAGGAGAAGCAAAAAACTATTTAAATTAAAAAGTTTGATTCTATCAACGCGATTTATTGTATTAAATAAACAAATTGTTTAATAGTGAAACCTATCATTTGTTATGATAGTTGGCAATGGCGTATATAAAACTGGATAAATTGTTCTTTTTACCTTCATAAATGTTATTGTCTTTTGTTTTTTGTCAATAAAATCGATAATTTTGATCGGTGGAGTCCAATTTTTTGTGGGGACATTTGTTTTGATGCTATACATTTGTTTGCCGTTTGTCTTTTCGGCGACGATATGTATGTAAATTGTTTCAAAATACAATTCAAATAGTTATTTACGTAGGAAAATTTATCATTCCCTCTATAACTCCTGCTATCTGGAACTTTCGCGTTCTTCAATACACAAAGTAAATTCTACTCTCACTGATCTCTACAACTGATGTCTTCTGTCCGAAACGAATGTCTTTTTTTACCAATGTTCCTATTTCGTCTTGTCCCCATTTGTCTTGACCCAACATACTAAAAACATCTACCGTCCTTGTCATGCAAATCAGGGTGGTCTTCTAAAAATCTCCTTCCCTCCAGTTCCTACATTCGGCCCTCCTAGGGCTTCATCCTTATGATAAAAATGGTTTATGTGCCAAATTTCATCAGCATACAGCAGTGTTGGTCCTTTCTCTGGCGTTAACACTAACTAAATGGTTCGAAATAGTTCAAACAAATGGTTTGCTCTTAATGAATATCGTTGTGTATAAATAATTGAACAAATAATTAACCCAGTTCCAGAAATATACATACATTCCATTGTAATATCGAAAAATCTTTAACAATAAACAAGATATTTTTACTTTTCCGATTTTTTGGCAATAGTGGTGGTCATGTCCTAAATTGTTAATCGGCATTTCCCTGACTTGATAGTCTACGGACTGCAGATCAGCAACGGACTTCAAACTGTGTCATGATCATCCACATTATCCCTGCGTCAGCATATTTTAATAATATTTTTTAATGTTGACAAAAAATACCAAATTATGTTCATAAATTTTTTTTGTCGTTGCTCCAAATTTGCGAAAATTTAAATTTACTATTGATCACAATGAGAACGAATTGAAAAATATTATCTACTTTATTTACCATTTCTAAGTAATATAAAAAACCTTCCTAGGCCAATACTTATATATTACAAGTTTTAACTCCTGTATAATAATAATAATAATAATAATAACAATAATAATAATAATAATAATAATAACAATAACAATAATAATAATAATAATAATAATAATAATAATAATAATAATAATAATAATAATAATAATAATAATAATAATAATAATAATAATAATAATAATAATAATAATAATAATAATTATAATAATAATTATAATAATAATAAAATCCCCATTGATATGATAAAAGTCAATGAAAAATTATGTAGATATTAAGATGTTAATTAAAGTTATCCGTATTTTCAATAGTTTTGTAAACAATAGGTTATTGTGACCCTCGAAAAATGTTGATAATAATGAATGTGTTAATACACTATATAGATATCGGCAATTTCGTGTCAAGTTACCCAACTTTTAAAATCGATGTCTTCCAATTTGGATTTGCACCAAGGTTAGTACTATTGGATAGTAGGCCAAGCACAAATTTTCAGCTCTATCGGTAAGGAACTGCCGGACTTAAGGGGGTCAAAGTTGGACATTTTGCTCATACAGGGTGTGAGTGTAACTTTTCACCATTGGTCCTAGCAAAAATTGTCCAAAGGAGTTCAGATAGAAATTTCTTCATTGTTTCAAAAAACATTTCTATATATTTTTTTTTTTTAATTTTAATTTTCAAAATGGGCCCTTAAAAATAAATAAAAATATTTTTTTTTTAATTTTAATTTTCAAAATTGGCCCTTAGGGTAAAATTAACTGCCAAATATTGAAAAAATCTTATTCTTAAGTTAATTTTTTTTAATATTTTTTTTATAGATATCAAACTCGCATCCCATTATGGGACTATAAAGCCCTTTAAGGAAATCGTATAAGCTTTATTTTGAGCAAAAAAGGTCCCATTTTGAAAAAAAAATAAATAAATAAAAATTTAATTTCTAACCTATTTATCCGATTTTATTAACCTTGGTATCAAACTAATGATTGACTGATAATTTGAAAATTCTAAGGAAAAAATAGTATAATTAATAAATAGCACAATAAATCCAAAAACGGTCCTTGAGTCAAAGATATCTCTGGAAAAGTATCTTAATTTTTATAAGTTCTACACTAAAATTTGCTTATAGTGTGTCATTAATAACATAAATCTCAAGAAATGTTACTTTTAGTAAAATAATTTAGATTTAAAGATGGCAAAATATTTTCTGACATACATTTCCCCATACGACTTAAATAATATTTTATTGCATAAATATTTTTAATACCCTGTTTGTAATAAATAAACCCCTATTTATATCACAAATTCAAAATTTCCTCCGTTGAAAAGACAATTACAAATCTCTCCCTTCGCTTTCTTATGATTTCCCATTTTTATGTCATTGCGAGTATATAAGCCGTTTCTTTTTTATGTTTGTTCATTAATATTGTTTGTTTCTGAATGTTGAGGTCATACTTTTAGATGTTTATAGAGTAAAATTTTTAATTCCACCCTGTAACCCCTAATGCAATTGTTGGTGTATTTAGTTGTTTTTCTCTCTCTCTCTCTATTATGTGTACTCTCTTAATTGAGTTTGTAGAAGACATTTTTGTGCGGTAGTCCGTTGTGATGACGACACTTTTCATATAGACGCCAACGAAGATAGTAACAGGGTGTGTGTTTGCTTGCAGATTATAATTAATAAATATTTATTAAAAAAAATCAAGGTTATTAAAACTATATTTTATTTTTCAGGCTAACATTTTTGTTGCTGTGTCCTGTCTATTAAAGCAATTATTTCATAAAATAGATTCAGTTTTCATCCAATAAATATGACTGAAGTTGAACAACCACCGCAGAATGGCATTGATTTGTCAGCGGCCGAAGATGAAGAAAGTAGCAAAGCCCGACCTGCCGATATAGAACAGGTATTGTTAATTTCAAATTAAAATATATAAAAGTATACATTAGTAGATGTGAAAATAAAGTTATATTTTAAATATATTTTCATTAGGATATGCGTGAAATGGAACGTCGTAAGCGCGTTGAAGCTATAATGGGTTCAAAACTCTTCCGTGAAGAATTAGAACGTATTGTTGACTGTGCTCGTGATAGCGGAAATGCAGCTGGAATACTACAACAACTGTCTGATATAGTTGGTGTGCCATCGTCGCGTGTTGGTAGCGTTTTTAAGACTTCTACCTGTATGTTGCCCATTAATGACATACGTGGTGTAGAGTCAATGGGCTATGCAAAAGGTGAAAAAATTCTCCGTTGCAAATTGGCTGCAACTTTTCGCTTGTTAGATTTATATGGATGGACCCAAGGTTTAGGTGCTCAGATTACTGCACGCCTTAAAGTTGATCAGGAATATTTCTTGGTCAATCCTTTTGGCTTGTTGTACCACGAGATAACTGCTTCATCGCTCAACAAAGTTGATATGCAAGGGAATATTGTTGAACAAGGCACTACAAATTTTGGTGTCAATAAAAGTCGTAAGTTATAATATTATTGTGAGATACGAATACTTAATGAACATTAATATTTTTTTTGATTGCCTTTAAGATTTTGTTCTTCATTCTGTGGTACACGCTGCACGACCAGATATTCGTTGCGCTATCTATATTGGCTGCAGCCCAGTGGTAGCTATATCGTCTTTAAAAACCGGTTTACTGCCTTTGACTAAGGATGCATGTGTTTTGGGCGAATTAACAACTTATTCATACACTGGTTATCTTCATGACGAAGAAGAGCGAAATAAATTGGTTAGGAATTTGGGTCCCAACTCAAAGGTTATGCTCTTGACTAATCACGGTGCCTTGTGCTGTGGAGAAACAATTGAAGAAGCATTTTTTGCTGCCTGTCACATTGTTCAGGCTTGTGAAACTCAACTTAAATTACTGCCAGTTGGTTTGGATAATCTGGTTTTGATTCCTGAAGAATCACGTAAAATAATTTACGATCAATCAAGACGTCCTCCAGAGGACTTGGAAAAGAAATTTGCTGCTGCCACAATAACTGATTCAAACAAGTCAGAAGAAGAGAAAAAGGAAGTTGTCGAAACTACAACAAAAGTAATAGGTCAAGCACCTAAATGGCGTGTGGGCGGTGCTGAATTCGAGGCTTTAATGCGTATGCTTGATAATGCAGGCTATCGCACTGGCTATATTTATCGCCATCCATTGATAAAATCCGATCCACCTAAACCTAAAAATGACGTTGAGTTGCCACCTGCAGTATCATCTTTGGGTTATTTATTAGAAGAGGAAGAACTTTTCCGTCAAGGGTAGGTTGTTTAACAACATCAAAATATTGCATATTTTTAAATTTATGTTTTATTTTATAATATTTTAGTATCTGGAAAAAGGGCGACTTGCGCAAAGGTGGAGATCGTAGCCGTTGGCTCAATTCACCAAATGTATATCAAAAAGTCGAAGTTTTAGAAACTGGCACTCCAGACCCCAAAAAGATAACCAAGGTAGAAATTATTACATTTGAAGATAATCCACAAACAGAAAATCAAAATTAAGATAAAGTATTCAATCAAAAACAATGAAACACATTTATTTGGTGGTTTATATAACTTATTAAAACCATTTATATCAATCAATTTATTTAATCATCACCATTAAACATTCCTTTTAAAGCACAAACATTTAGTTAAATTTCTTAATTTCAGTGAAAGATCAGCGTTTGTTAGTCCAAGTAATTTTACAAATAAAAATTTGTTATTCTTTGGCTTTTAATTTTATTGCTTTAAATTAAGAAACAACATAAACTGATAAAATATTTCAATACATAATATGATATTAAATTAAAGAAAAAGTTGTTTCTTATTCGTATACATATATTAAAATGACATTCCAATTTATATAAGTAATCATTTATAATATACAGATATATTAATGCTTTGTATGTCTCGTATACCTTAAAATATTTATAATAGTAATAGTCCTTGATATTCAATAAAGTATCGAAATTAAATTGCTATTTAAATAGATAAAAATCAAACATAACTATTTTAATTTTAAATAATTTTGTGCCTAAAATATTAACATGGTAGGTTTACAGTCGTATTTTTCACTTAAAAACTGGTTTATTCGAAGAGAAATGCGAAAGAGAAAGAAAAAATGTTTCAAAATTAAAAAAAAATAAACAAATTTGTTTTTACTTTGTTTGAATAAATAAATAAAATCCAAACCTTTTGCACTATTATGCTATAATTTAAGAATTTTAAACATTCTTAAATATCGAATAAATAATTTAACCGAGGCGACAATTTTTCATTATTAGTGTAAATTTTTTGTTCCCAATTGGCTTTTAGTGCTAAAGCAATAATGTAATTGATCAAATGTTCGTTTGTTTCTTTATAACTTAAAATTATCCCAAAGGTTTGTTTTAACATTAAAATAAAAAAGTAGGCACTAAAACAAATTTCTTTGATATCGAATAAAGATCAACCCTACTCATGTCGTAATTTATTGCATGCATATGTTTTCGCATTATTTTTATTGGTATGACAAATATTTTATTTTTTTTATCAAAATTTTCTCGCTCTTAATAATTTTATTATTTTAGGCACAAAATTATACATTTTTGTTTGTTTGATTTTCATTTTCACGGTATTTAATGTAATGACTAACATTGTCGCTAATTCTATTTAAAGTAAAATCTATGTATATGATTGTTATTCTGAAATATGATTATAATTTTTAACACTTTGAACGTGATTTTTTGCCATTCATTAAATCTCAACATTTAAAAAAATAAACAAAACTTATTAATTAACTAACTCATGCAATTATATATGTGGATTGTATTTAAGTACATTATTTTTTCGACCTATTCTTTTGAATTGTAAGCTATTTTTTGTATAAAGCCGAATCTATAGGTTTGGATGAAACTAAGCAAAACATTTCTTTCTCTTTCCATTTTAATTTTCGTACGCAACGTTGTTGGTTCATATATTTGAACGGTTGTACATTAATAAAATTTAAACGAAATTTTGAAATGTATAAAAAATAGTGGGTTGCTGAAGGTTCGCCGACTCATTCAACACCTGTGCGCATTGACGATCCATTACAATTTGTGCCAGTCAATACGAATCCTAAGGAATTTAAAAGAGTTCAACAACAGGTATATAACGTAAAAAATACATTTTGTTATCAATTTTGAAACCGTTTGTTTTATTAAAGATTAAGGACAATCGCCGTGCGGATAAAATATCAGCAGGTCCTCAGTCACATATTCTAGAAGGTGTTACATGGGATGAGGCAAATCGTATTAAAGATGCTACTGTTAGTTCAGCCGGTGATCATGTTGTTTTAATGGGCGCTGCATCAAAGGGCATTATACAACGTGGCTTTCAGCATAATGCAACAGTATATAAAGCTCCGTATGCTAAAAATCCATTTGATAATGTAACTGATGACGAATTAAATGAATACAAGCGTACAGTGGAACGCAAGAAGAAAAGTATTCATGGTGAATGTAAGTTAAAATTTTAATGTGAAAACATTTGTAAATTTGTATTTACTTAATATTTATTATAGACACTGATACCGATTTCTCTGAATCCGAAGCATTAAGTTCATTACAAACATCAGGCGCACAGCAACAAACTAAACAAACTACAACTACCACAACAACTACAACTGCCGCCGTTAGTCAATCAGAACCAGAAGATATTTCAGGTAAGAACAATTTCTAAAAAATCGTTGAATATCTTTATTATATTATATTACATTTCATATTTTAAATATAGAACACCAAGTTATGAGAATACAAACCGAACAGGCTCCAGTTCCCAGTCAACCAGAAGTAGTTTTGAGCGATGGTAAGTCTGTGTTTTCTATATTATTGAAAAATCCAAATTTTTTGCACTTGTTTTGTTTAATTTGAATTTAATTCAAAAAGCGTCTTGTCTCAAAACTTTGTTTTTTACGTTGTTTAAATTTTAATAATTGGCGATTTAAATTAAGTTTTTATCTTATTATGTGTATATTTATTTTTATTTTTTTATTTTTTATATCCTTCTTATTTTTTATCCACAAAATTTTTACACTAGTTGATAATAACAATGTAAAATCTGATAATTTTTTAATCGTAGTTTTTAGAAATGAGCATTTTTTATGCGTCTTTGATATGCTTTCTATAATATTTTTATAGAGTCTAAAGGTTTTTTAAAGCTAAATTTTAACAACGCTATTTTTTCACAGAACCAATTTGTTGTACAGCGTGTATTAAAAGATAATTGTTAAAAGATAGTCTACACTACTACTAGTCATCAGTTAATTCTACTCTTCAGTCTTCAAAAACTTTAATATTTATGTTCCAACTCTTTGTATATCAATATTGTAGTCAAACGCACTTAATAGTTTCATAAATTTCGAAAATAGCTGCAGTTTTTATTTACTTTTGATCTGGTTTTTTCCACTGAGCGTACCAAAGAAATAATTTTAATTTGTTAATTCAATGAATTTAATTAAAAAAAAAACGAAAAGCATTTACAGTTATATTCATAACGAAAAACATGTTTATTCTGAAACATTAAATTTCCATTGACGAATGTTTGTCATTAAGATACAAAAATGGTTAATTTTTAGGCGAAACAGGATTGTTTGAAACATTTGTGTGTCCCTTAAAACCCATGATAATTCGATAATTAGACTGAGTTCTTCACTTATGTACAATATTAATTTAAATGACAGAATTTAACCATGACCATGACGAATTTAGTACGTCCCAGCAAAAAAAGATGTACAAAAAAGTAGTAAATGCATGGGTTCCACTGATTATACTGTACGTAAAATTTCAACTTTCAAAAAGACGCAGAAATACGACACACACGTGAAATTAATTTTCGGTCGTAGAATCTAGTAGCCTATTCCGTTTTGAAAAGTTGGGCCAAAATCGGGACATATTCCTAGTCGAAAGTAAATCGATTTTAATTTTATTTAAATAAATTAAATAATTATTTTTTGCGTTTTTAATGTAATTGTAACTTGGTTTTAAAAGCTTCTCGGTTTTGAAACCGAATCGATTTACAGAACAGACATTGACCCAACTTAACAAAACGGAGTATGTCACGATATTCTACGACCCAAATTAAGTTTAGGTGTCACGGCGTTTTTCTGTGTCTTTTTGACATACTTACAGTGTAATGAACTGGTTATTTTTTAAGTGAAACATGCATGATTTTTACATTAGCTTGATATTGGCGAGCATGGGTTCGTATTTGGAAAAATAGTGCTTAAAACCAATGAACATTATGATTCTCATGCATTATTGAAGGTATTATGAATTAATTATTAATATTTAAATTATTTTTTGCCTTATATTGATAAAAATAATATATATTAACAAAATAAAACATTAATGACTGATTTTGAATTCCATTCAAATTCATTCAGGGTAAAAATATAATGGGCATTTTTAAAAACCCGTTAAGCAGTCAGTCAACTTGGTTTTTTCCTTCTCTTATTAAATAAGATATTAAAATTGACTTAATATTACTAATTTTATATTAAATACAAAAAATTAATAAAATTTGTGTTGCACGTTTCCTTTCAATCCTAAGAGAATACAAAATTATAGTGAAATATTATAATTCCTATAGTAGAGTTACATGAATGAATTTTACGCAATTTTTCATGCCTTTACTTATGACAAATTTATTAGCATTCAGGCATGTATTTAAAACACTTTAAATTGAATAAGTACTAAAGAAATCAGGAAAATATACTTTCTTCTTGAACAACTTAAAATTTTTTTGCTGGGGTATTAAATTTAATATCTACTACAGAAATCAAGAAAATATCTCATCATCATTTAACTTTTTTGCTGGGTTATGTACAAAAAAAAAAAATATAATAACAATTCTTTTTGTCTCACTTTAGAAATTACAAATTGTATGCAACCGAGCAAAAAAAGATGTGCAAAAAAGTATTAGATTCATGGGTTCAACCGATAATAAACTGGTGAAACATGCATGATTTTAACATTAATATTATTGTATGAAATGCACGTTTCTTTGAAATCCTAAGGGAATACCAAAATAAGTATAGTGAAATATTACAATTCCTATAGTAGAGTTACATGAGTGATTTGGGTGCAATTTTTCATTCCTCCACTTATGACAACTTGATTAGAATTTAGCCGTGTATTTAGAACGCATTAAATTGAATTTGTAGTAAAGAAAGAAGGGATATTTTCATGATTTCTTTAATACGTATTCAATTTAATGCGTTTTAATTACACGCTTAAAAGGTTTAAACAATATTTTTTTTCTTAAAAAAGCGCCATTGAGTTAAGTGCTACAAAAATTAGTTCTATCCTTTGAAAAAGTTGAAAAATTTTTTTAAATACTCAAACCCGTTTTCAACGATCTCCGAAGTACGTAATAAGACGAGTGAAGTTTTAGTAATTCTAAAAATAATGTGGCATTTTACGAAATTAAAAGAATATTCATTATAAATTTATTTAATATTCTCTACAAAAAACACATAAAATGTATACATACTAATGTCTGCATCCCGTTATTATGCATTTATGATTTCGTTATGAATATAGCCGTAAGATTTTACATTTCTTATTTTTTTTTTAAATTTTTTTTTTTGAAAATCGCTTTATTTTTTAATTAACACAATTGTCAAAATTTCTAAATATAACATCATTTTGTGTACCTCCCTTTTTATTTCCTAAACACATTTTAGCCCGCTCTAAAAAGAAAAAGTAAATTGGTGAAATAGTTTTAGATTTTAATTTTTTTATATTTAAAATTATTAAGAAAAGCACATAAAAAAGGAATAAGTTTATTTTCCTTGTAAAAGATTTGACCGAAAAACGATCTGAGGATATTTTAGGCTTAGGAAAGAAAATATAACAATCAAAATATCAAATCAACTATTACATTTCTTCTACAATTGAATCTTATTGAAATTGTTAAAAAATGCATATTTAAAGTGAGGTGAGTTAATTTTTTATATTTGATCTTTAAATATTAAGTAGATCAAACGAAAATACACTCTTTTTACATTTCTTTGTTTTCATTTTTATTTGTGTAATCAACAAACCATTTAGTTTTCTTTGATATTTACTTTCTTTTTTAAAAGTCCTCACTTTTAATTCATTTAACATTTATTTGTAAGATAAATACGAAAATTAACGAATTCGCAGAAAAATTATGAGAGTTCGACCGAAATGTCTTTATGTATTATATATGCATACTTAAAATCAAAGTCAACATTTGATTCGTTCGTCGCACAATTGAAAACTAAACCTTCAAGACAAACGCAGGATGTTTGTCTTACATCACTCGCTTTGTTGAATAATTATTTTATAGACAATATGGGCCGAACTCTAATAATTTTTTATTATATTTTTGTATATATGCATTTTCAATTATTAATTGTTGCTTATCGTTTCTGAAACGGAATATGCCTGGTTGTCAATTTTACTACTTAGACATAGATTTTCGAAACTCATTTCAACTCATCTTGACTAATAAAAGGCATGCTCCTGACATAACAAATTATCATATTCTCAAAAATGAATTTTATTGCGTACCCCGAAAAGCATGTCATAAGTTCGAAAACGTTGTTTACATTTTTTCGGTTTTATAATACGGAAAAACAGTGTTGTTATATATGATTTACTCTGGTATAATAAATATAGGCTTTGGATTTAGTTGATATTAGTTGAAATGTCTCACAATAAAAGATAATAAAATACATACTTTTATCCCAAGGTTTAACAATTAAAATCTCTATTTATACATATTAATTGAATGAAGGAAGAAGTGGTACAATAATTACCATATTGCAGTGGTTGTCTTTAAGAACAATTGCCAACCACAAAAAATTGTAATGTTTAATTAAAGCTTTTACTTGCAAATGAATAGATAATAACTTTCTCAAGAAATGTAGCAAAATATAAATTATTTAAACTTTTTAGAAATTAGTTATTTTAACACTTGAATGCAAATAATGCCATAATTCGGCAGTTGAAATATTAAAAAGAATATTAAAAAATAAAAAAAATGTTTAATGCTGTATTTTCATGCTAAAACTCAAAATAGTTCGCAACATTTTGGAAGACAAACATGCCATACTTTCTTCAACTAGACATTTAGTAAACCTCATGCATAACGTATTTAAGGTCTTTAATACATATTTGACATTCAATTCAGGTAGTGTTAAATCATGTTCACACCTATCAAATAATTGACGAAAATTTCCTATAAATATATACAGTGGTAGCACACATGGTATATGTGAACTATACCCAGCAAAAAAGAACTTCTAAAGAAGCAAAGAAGAAGTAGAGTTTACTCCATGGAAGTACTGAAAAAGACCTGAAGAAGTGATGTTTTTAACACAGGCTTGTCATAGGAGGAATGTCCTTTATATTTGATTCCAAATTCACTACTTCTGAAGTCATTCTCAAGAAGTAATTTTAATGCTCTTTTTTGGAAGTTATTCGGAAGAGAAATTGTAGTATTATAGAATACATACAACTAATTTGACTTAAATAATATTAACATTAATTAGGATAATATAATCATTTACTACAAAAGCCCAAATATAAAATTTTTTATCTCATAAAAATGTAAGAATAAAAATATATCTTTAACATTTAAAAAAATAGAATTATTTTCGTTTTTTCGGAAGTATTTAAACATCACTTCCTCAGAAGGTAAAAAAAATGCAATTAGTGCTACTTTTGAAGTGGTTATAAATGTTATTCTTCTGGAACTACTTCGTTTTATTTTTGCTGGGATAACATCAAATATTTACTATAGTTCTTAACTCTTTTAACAAATTCTTTTTTATGCGTAACACATGTCCTTCGAAGATCACGACACATTACATTTTGTTCCGCTAATTTGTTGCTTATAGGTTTTTTTCTTTCCAAAGTAAATTTACCCCCCAAAAATATCTGGACATAAATTTAGCATAAAATATAAAAAATCATTAATTTATTAAAAATATAACAAAACAACCGCCTAAATTTATTTAATTTCACTTAAAAATTCATATTTTATAGAATATGGCCGCCACTGTACATACATATTTATGTATTTACACAAAAATCTTATATATTTGAAGATATCACTTTATAACGTCTACAATTGACATTATTTGCCATTAAAAAATAATTTTAGATTAAAAAAAAAAAATACAAAAATTCTCGTCAAATATTTGATAGGTATGAACGTACCTTAAAGGTAGCTCATGTTTTTATCCTTTAAGTAGATATTTTTACTGCTGCAGCTGCTAAACTTTAACAAAGACTTAAAACTTATATATATTTATTTCCTAACTTCAAATTATGTATTTTTGTGTACATTATTTAGAAAACCAATATGTATATGTAATTATTTAATTTTATTTAATTTGTTTATTTTTACCATCATCAAAATGTGAACGTTATAGCATCTCTAAGTTTTATAAATGGTGAACGATCCCACACTGCTACAAATCGTAAACCACCAACAGGTCGAGGTAACGAATTTTTCGTTTACTATAATAAATGATAAAACTTTAAATCAAAATAACACTTTTTTACCCTTCTAACGATGTATGCATAACAATATATACATTCATATCATTTTGTAAATATTAAACTTTTATGAGCTTAAAAGACATCGTTCACATTATTCAAATATATCACTATACACGCACATTCTAATGTCGTGCATCCTTCCCAATTATGAATATGTTAAGTAGTCAAAGTCTTTACACTTATTTGGATATATATTTGAGTAATGTTAGCGTACGTTTACATTTAAACCCCATGTGCATCTCTAACTACATTACAAAACATTCTTAATCGAAATAGTATTAATAGAAATGAGGTCGTATTTTAGTCGTTCATAATAAATATTAGTTTCATCAGTGCGAATGGAAAGTAAAACAACTTATTTGTTAAAAAAGGTTATTTTAGATTATGATAGATTATGTATATAAATACATACATACAGTCATACATACAGTATACATACATACATACATACAGTATACATACATACATACATACATACATACATACATACATACATACATACATACATACATACATACATACATACATACATACATACATACATACATACATACATACATACATACATACATACATACATACATACATACATACATACATACATACATACATACATACATATGCATTTAAAAATAATTTTATTTGAGGCTGTACATATAAGTACATAAGTATGACATCTTATTTAACAATATAAATCAATTGTAATAACTTTATAAAATGTTTACTTCAATTTGTATGCTTTTCGTAGATATTCAATATTTTATGAAACCATATCAAACGTTACAATACTCTAACATCCATGAATCATTACATTTAACGTGCAATTCATCATCATTAAACCACAATCAAACAGCCATAGAAGATGGGGATGCTGGTAAAGAAGAAGAAGCAAAATCATTCTCAAATCAATATCAAGAAATTAGTTTAATGTTGCAAAATAATCAAAATTTAAAACTATTGAATACATTGAACAATGATTTATTTTCCCAAAACCAAAAAGATATTGTTAACACATATGCACCCACTTACACTTTCACTCAATCACACTCTCATAAAAACAAAGGTAATGGTAATCTAGCAGATATGTCCATTTATGATTCTCCTCATCATTATTTATCGAGGGTTGTTGATAAATTTGGTGACACGTCGTTTTTCACGTCACGTGGAATTAAAAGCGATGAAGATTCTTATTCTACTGCAAATGATAGATATCTAGAACTTATTGAAAAACATTTCCAAATTTGTTGTACTCCAAAAATATGTGATAAAATATTTGAATCTGTCCTGAAGTCTAAAAGTATGAGAGATGAATTCGTTTTAAAGAGTGATCATAACATAACGGCGGACATGCCTAACAATAATTGTGATGTTTCATACAGGGCCAGAACTGCAACAATTTCTTGTTCCAAATTAAAATTGCCATTTCGCACAGTATCTCATTTTGGATACAATTCACCAATGCGAGAACCCAAACCAGACCATAAACACCTGGTATTTAATCCAGAAAATGTCCAAAAATATGTGCCTCTACGAAGATCTGTATCCTATGAAGAGATTTTTTCATCACCACGTTATCTTAATCTTTGTGAATATTGTTTTGAATTAGTTGTCCGTTTGAAACCAGAACTTATGAAATATAAAACAAAATTGCATAATTTGACAAAACATAAATCCCCATTTTTGAAATCGGTCTCTGGTCAAAACGATTTAGCATGCATTACGGCAAATGCTGTTAGCCAGGAATTATCTGAAAAGGATTCTAATATATCAGATCTTAATGAATCCGTTTCTATATTTTCCTTCCAAATGGATCCTGTTGGCGAAGAGAAAGACGGAATAAGTACTAAAAGAAATGTTGATGTATTATCAGCTACGACAAATTCTACATTCAATGAAAAAATAGCACGTATGAACTACTCAGAATTATATTCTAATAGTGTAAATTCTCAAATTAGTTTACGAGAATTTGAAGATTACGATATAAAATCATATAATACTTTTTTAGAAAGAAATAGATCCCAAGATGAGTTGGTGGATTATGATATTAATAATAATGGTGTCAA